ATCCTGAGAAACCTCAGGAAAAAACCCACTGTATTTTGATGATGTGCTTTCTGTCTGTGAAGAACCAGAATCACTGGAGTTAAGCAAATTTGTTCGACTATCATGGTGTAATTTTTCAGGCAGGTGGCCTGCACAAGCCAGTTCATTTTCTTTATTTGCCATATCACAGCCCCCACTTCTAGGGGACTGTTCCTTTTTAAAACAAGAATTTGGAAAAGGATAATAAACTTTCTTTCTGTGGTAGATCGCCTTACGCAGGTTATCTGGGCTTTCAACAGCCTGTCCAACTGTTCTCGTTATGTAAACAGCCAACTGTTTTGGAGATTCTTAACCTCCTTCATGTTCTTAGTGAAATTACAGATCATTTTTCTAGGATGATCAATGGAATGGTCCTCAATATTATTATAAAAGTTCTGTTTTTTTAACATTGTGGGTTTCAGATGCCATAATCTCTAAAATACTGGTGCCTCATGGTACTGTGGAGCTTTAGTCCAGCCCTGGCGCTGACCAACTGCGCCTAGAAGCCTAGAGAGTCCCCGGGCCCCTGGGCTGAGACTCAGGGCCATTCAAATGCGGCCGCCAAGACCATACTTTCATAATCTACTGTCAATGTTAGAGCAGTTTGGAGGCATTTTTTTTCAGCTTTATTTAGGCATAATTGACATACAATAAACTGTGCATATTTAAAGTCTAAATAATGCATATTTCTATCATTCCACTCCTCAATTTCTTCTTGCCCCTTTGTATTTTATTCCCCCTCAACTCACGCTGTCCCCCTGTCCAGGCACCCATTGGTCTGCTTTCTGTCACTAGAGATTAGTTCATATTTTCTAGAATTATTTTTATAAATGGAATCATGTAGTGTGTTATTTTGTTGTGTGGCTTATTTCAGCATAATTATTTTGTGATCATTTGTGTTGTTACTTGTATTATTGCTGAGTAGTCCATTACTTATACTACAATTATATTGTACTACAATTTGTCCATTTACATGTTCATGGGCATTTGAGAGTGTCCTTTAATAAATCTTTTATGAGTATTTGTGGACATAGAAATTTATTTCTCTTGGATAAACACCTAGGAATGAAATGGCTGGGGCATATGGTAGGTGTAAGTTTAACTTTTAAGGAAACTGCCAGTTTTATAAAGCAGTTGTACTATTTTACATTTTATATTTACACCAGCAGAAATGGAAGAAAATGTGTTCTTAATGTTGGATTTTATAAAAAGAGAAAAGAGCCCTGGCCGGATAGCTTGGTTGGTTAGAGTGTCATACCAATGCACCAAGGTTATGGGGTTGATCTCCGGTCAGGGCACACTTGAGAATCAACCAATGAATGCATAAATAACTGGAACAATAAATTGAAATGCCTTCCACCCTCCCTCCCTCCCTCCTTCCCTCTCTCTTTTTAAAAAAAATATATTTTATTGATTTTTTACAGTGAGGAAGGGAGAGGGATAGAGAGTAAGAAACATTCATGAGAGAAACATCGATCAGCTGCCTCCTGCACATCTCCTACTGGGGATGTGCCCGCAACCAAGGTACATGCCCTTGACCGGAATCGAACCTGGGACCCTTTAGTCCGCAGGTCAATGCTCTATCCACTGAGCCAAACCAGCCAGGGCTCACCTTCTCTTTCTAACATCAACCAATCAATAGAAAAATAAGTATTGCTATTTTTAAAAAAAGAGGAAAGAATTACTTCTTGTATTTGTAGAGTTCAGTTTTCTAGGTGAGTGCTAAGATGCAACAGAGCCTCGAATAACGTGGTTTCCTTCAACATCATTTCATTATAACATTGATGAGATGCTATAGGGACTTAATGCTTGTTTATATCAACCTGTGGTAAAATTGGTTTCATTATATGTCATTTTGGTTAAAGTAGTAAAATAATGACAACATTAAGTGAGGACTTTCTGTACTGTGAATCAGACATTAGTTTTATATGATTTAATAAAATGGAGTGTAGAGTTTAAAGAAGTAATTCTGGAAATCTTTTATAAAACAGATTATGTAAGAAATTTCTTTGAAAAATCCCCTAAGTCATCCATAAGGTGCAGTGTTTAGACGTAACATCTCTCCCTAATTTCAACACACTTGCTCATTTTTTTCTCTTGAATTAAATTAATGTTTATTTACTTGCCCCAATGAAGTGGTTAGCTTTGCATTTAGGGGCTACACCTAATTAAAAATATGTAATTTAAAATAGTAGTATTTTATTCAGCTTGATGTGTAAGGCATGTGTGAACTGATATAAATCGAGGGAACAGCAGATTTATATCTCTTGCTCACTCTGGGTCATAAGCATACATTTTATTGAGAGGAATGGTGGGTGGAGTGGCCTGTATCACTTAAATTATTTTTCTTTTTGCTATGTGTAAATAGTTGCATTCTCATAAATTAAATGCATATGTGATGTGATTGCATTATAATTATGGTAACAGCTGAAGCTGAATGCAGAAAGAGGTTATGTGCATATTAAGAGTAGGGTGGCTGATAGGTTTGTTAAGTCGTTGTTCATGGGCCCTTTTTAGTTTTCCATAATAGGTTAGTAAGGATAAGTAGACCTCATTAGCACCTATTCAGTGCTTCTTCCTTTCATTTTCCTGCTCTGCCTAGATCATCTATTTTCTTCTTTTTGCTTGTGTTATCTACACTCCCTTTTTATGTCCTCAACTCCTTAGTATTCACTCATCTCTTTAGAATCAGTAGTATACCTGTTTTCCAGTTAGAATGCTACCAAAACCCATAAACATAAATCAGTTGTACAATTATATTTTGTAGCTTTGTTGTGTATATAAAATAAACTGCAAAGTGGTTCTAAAAATGGTGGTCTAGGCTGGTGCCATTTTGAGGCTTAGCCCATCTGATATCCAGATTACCTATTAAATTTATAATCCCTTAGCAAAATAATGGTGGTCTACTTTTATGAACTCATTATCAACATTCCAGATTACTTCTGCATAAAACATTTTTAAAAAACCCTCTTTATTTGCCTAACTTGTAAAATGCACTGTTTCATTTTTATATTTTGCTAAGAGTTAAAAATGTGGATCTCTTTCACTAGCCTGATTAATTAAGAACTGATAGAAGAAAGTTTACTTGACCTAGTGTCATAGGTCCTGGGCTCCAGCACAGTCTTGTCATTATTAACTCACTATGTAATTTTGGGAAAGTAACATTTCTCATCTGTAAAATGTGGGGAATGGACTTGATCTTAAAAATTTTAAAGATTTCCCTCTGGGGCAGGAGAACCAAACTTGTAAAAGAAGTTGTTTTTAAAAATAGTTTTATCTTATAAGTCACCTCTGAAATTTAATGGCTTTACTAGAAATTATGTATAATCACTTTTGAATTTTGTATATCTCGTCTGTTGCAGGATGCTTTAATCTGGATCCCAATAGAGTTTTGGATGTCATTTTAGAAGTATTTGAATGCAGGCCAGAACATGATGACTTCTTTATATCTTTATTAGAATCTTACATGAGTATGTGTGAACCGCAAACACTGTGTCATATTCTTGGGTTCAAATTCAAGTTTTACCAGGTAACAAAATATGTGTGTGTATCTATATCTATCTGTATCTATAGGTTAATTTCATGATTTTATAGTACAATTTAATATGAATTTTATTTGTAAATGATTAGTTTCAGCTACTCCATTCTGTCAGAGGAAATAGATAAATGGATAGTTAACAGTGAGGTATAATAAGTACTGTATTAGTAATATGAATGATGTGATATGAAAGTCTAGAGGAAAGCATAATAAATATTTTGCTTTGGGAGAGATGGAGTTAGGGAAGATTTTATAAATAATAAACTTTTAAAAACCTGTTACTTGAAGGATGAGTAGGAGTTTGTTGACAGTTGTTAGTGCAGAAGTAATAAATAGTGTGAGAGTGAAGACATAACAGTATGAGATTGAAGAAATGGTATATAGTCGTATGTGGCTGGATTGTAAGATGCGGGGAAGAGACAGGAAGTGAAGTTGGAAAGGTAGGTGCACTTTTGATGGTTTAGAGTCTTAAATACTGTGTTGAGTTAGAATTTTACTGTGTAGACAGTGAAGATTGGTTAATTTTCACTTAAACCACTACAGTAGTTATCTAGTAAATCTGTGCCTCTGATTATTTCTCTTTCAATCCATCTTTCATATTATTACTACTGTTACATTCTAAAAGAGATCTAATTGATACACTGCTCAAACACATTTGCCTGGAGGATGACATTTAAACTTACAAACATGGCAGAAAAGGCTAGTCACAATCTAGCTCCATTCTTTCTTTCCAGCCTCATCTTTAGTGATTTTCCCCCTCAAATCTGATATTCTTTTTTAAAAAAATATATTTTATTGATTTTTTACAGAGAGGAAGGGAGAGGGATAGAGAGTTAGAAACATCGATGGGAGAGAAACATCAATCAGCTGCCTCCTGCACACTCCCCACTGGGGATGTGCCCGCAACCAAGGTACATGCCCTTGATCGGAATCGAACCCGGGACCCTTGAGTCCACAGGCCGACGCTCTGTCCGCTGAGCCAAACTGGTTAGGGCTCAAATCTGATATTGTAGCGATATTAAAGTAATAACCATTTCCCGAACTAAGGTATAGACATTGCTATGTATAGACAGACCTTTGTTTACAAGCAGTTTCTTAAACTAGAAAAATATTCTTCTGCAGCCATCTTACCTGTCTTGGTCTTAATCTTGTGAACTATTTATTCTTTAAGATCAAATGCTACTTGGTCTATAAAGTCTTGGCTGATAGTTCAGTCATGCAGAATTAGTAACTTCTTGATCTCTCTTTTCATGAAATGTGACATAGACTTCTGGCACTTACCAGGTTATATTAGAATAAACTATGTCTATCTCCTTTGCCAGATTGTGAGTCATTTAAGGCAAGGTCTATATTTTACTAATTTCTCTTGATTAATTTACTGCTTAGTCTATAGTAAATGCTCACTAATTATAAATGAGTGGTCTATCTCTTGATAGCATGGAGGATTTTAATGTAATAAGGCCTCCATTATTCTTTTGTTATATCTTTCTTAATTTGTCTACTTGGATTGGGGTACTCAGCTAGTCAAGAAATACTCATTTATTGAGTGTTTAAACAGTGGTTCTCAACCTTCTTAATGCCGCGACCCTTTAATACAATCACTCATGTTGTGACCCCCAATTTCATTGTTACAAATTGAACATAATTAAAGCATAGTGATTAATGACAAAAACAATATGTAATTATATATGTGTTTTCTGATGGTCTTAGGCGACCCCTGTGAAAGGGTCGTTCGACCCCCAAAGGGGTCGCGACCCACAGGTTGAGAACCGCTCGTTTATGATATGCTGTTGCTTTGCTAGGCACTGAGGAGTCTCTTGTGGGGCATGTCTATTCCTGTCCTCTGGAACTCAAGTTCAGGATAGTAAGACAATTTCTTTTAGCATTCTCAAGTGATATATGACCTACTGCCTCTGCTTGTCTTTTATTTTTCATAATCTGGGATGCTCCAGAATAGAAATCAGATCAGAGCTTGAAAGCATATAGCTTTATGATACCAAATAAGACACATGGTAGGGTTTTGGGGCAAGAGTACTTCACCTTTGCTTAAAAATTAGTGATGACAGCTGTTCCTGTTTTTACCAGAAACCAGGGAGTCCACTGTTAGTACAGGGAAGGAGAAGTTCAAGTATTTCATCACATTTTAAGAGGCACCATGATAGCTTTGGCTTTAAGAATATGAAGCCAACTGCTAAAGTGACAGGGTAACTGAAATTTAACTTGGGTGGGATTACTTAGAATATAGGTTAGGGTTTTGGAGACTGTACGTTTCAGAGCATAGTGCAGTGAGTAATAACCTACTGCATAACATCAAGTATTACTTGTTAAATGTGAATTTTAGAATTAAATTTGTATATGAAAATATTCCTCATGGTAGTAACACTTTTTGAGCTGAATTATATCCCTAGGGGTTGAGAATGTTGGAATAATCATCCTTTTTTAAAAATAGACAGTGGGCCTTTTTATTATATAAGAAATACCCAACCATGAAACATTTGATTTAGAAGTAACCTATTATTGGAAAGAGTAACCCTCATATTGCTCTGTATAAAACTATTGCCTTTTTTTCTATTGCCTGAGCTATCTTACTGTTGTGAGAATCTGTAGTCTTAAGGATCACTAAGGGCAGGGGAAGAAATGCAGAGATTTAAGGTAATTTGTGGTCTTGGAGGTAAAGTAAGGATAGCTATGGAAATCAAGAGCCTCTTAGAGAATGTAACCCTGGTAATTGGCTCCTAAGCACGTGTGGTCACTCTTTATGCCAGTCCCTTATCTTACTCTACCCTCCCTTCTTTCAATCACTACCTGATAATGTTCACTCCTCCTGCCTGCAACCCATATTTTTACCAATTGGGACTTATTTGGATTAGCAGGCTGCTGCACCCGCAGTGCTTCTGACCTGGAAGTGTGGTAAGAGATGAAAACAATTTTAGAGCACATGATCATTTTGGAAAGTTAGGCAATCATATCGGCTTGATCCTCCTAACGGATTGCTGTGATAGAGGATTTAGGGGCAGCATAAAGGACAGGCAGAATGGAGTACTAGAAAGTGTGAGGGTTACCAAAAGACAAACTTGGCTGGAGTTGTCTTGCCACAGGAAAGAGGAAAGTGATTGTGACTCTCACCCATATCACAGCTCCTTGATTTGTGGATTCAAAATACAGTAGTAGTAACAGTGATACCATGATTAGGTGCTATTATAATCTAAATTCATTAATTTGAGAAATTTTGATTGAGCACCTTTTATGTAGTAGGTAATGTTCTGGGTGCTGGGGCTACACATAAACAAATATAAATTCTTGCCTTCTTGATGCTGACATTCTAAGCAAATTATATGATATGCTAGAAGTTGATCAGTAAGATGGGGCAAAAAATATAGAGCAAGTTAAGGAAGATTGGGAGTGCTGGAGTTATTGGTTGCAATTTTAAATAGAATAGTGAGAGGAGACCTCATTGAGAAGATGAGACTTAAGCAAAGAAATGAAGAATGTGAGGGTGTAAACTGTACAGATATCTGGAGAAAAATCTTCAGGCAAAGAGAACAGCCAAGCAAAGAAAGGCCTCAAGGTGTGAGCACGCTGATGTGTTGAAGAACAGCAGGAAGACTAGTGTAGCTGGATCAGAGTGATTGAGTGGGAGAGCGGTAGGAGATAAGGTCAAAGAAAAGGGACTATATATCAGATCACACAGAGCTAGTACAGAGTTTTTTATTGTGATGCTGAGTGAAGCCAGTGGAGGATTCTGAATAGGAGAGTGATTTGATCTGACTTAGGTTTTTCATTTTGTTTCTTTTTACTTTTACTT